TTCTTCTTCTTCTTCTTCTTCTTCTTCTTCTTCTTCTTCTTCTTCTTTTTTTTTTTTTTTTGAGACAGGGTCTGTAGCCTGAATTTCCTATGTAGACCAGGCTGGTCTAGTACTCACAGAGATCTGCCTGTTTCTGCCTCCGGAAAGCTGAGGTTAAAGGCCTCCACCATCCTTCCTTCTCACGCCATGCTGTGTCCTCAGCATACAGGTGGGAACCCTGTCAGGGGAGATGTTCATGGAAGGGTACAAGGCTGCATCACTGCTCACGGCCCTTATCATAAGATGATGGGATCAGAGAAGGAATATTCACTTCTCAGAATCCAGGCTGAGGAGGAGCCCAGACAATCGGAACACAGAAAACTGCCTTTATTTTAGGGCACTTGGCCTTGGCAAGGATTCTTCTTACTTCCCATCTCTCGATGGAGCAGAGAACTGGGTAGAGAAAGGAGGAGAAAGAAGTCCTCTTGTCACGAATGACGCCTACACTGCTCCGTACAGCATTGTCATTGTTGCTGTGGGACATTTTTGTTTGATCATTGATATTTCGTGACAGGGTCTCTCTATGTATGTAGCTGAGGCCGACCTCAAACTCACTATTGTAGGCTGGGCTGGCTTCTCGCCCCGATCATCCTATCGCAGCTGGGACTGATGAATGCTGGAGTTGCTGCTGTACACCCAGCTTCTAGGCTCAAAATTCTCTCATCTTGTCCGAAATTCCAATAGGCAAAGGCACCGTAGTGTCGGCAGCACCGCTTTATAGGACAGGAAAGAGAAACACACAGAATGGCCATGTTTGTTTGAATCAGGCCTCTCTTTGTAGCCCTGGTTGTCCTAGGGCTCACAGAAATCCTCTTGCCTCTGCCTCCTCAGGGCTGGGATTACAGGCATGAGCCACCGCCGCTTGGCTTGAGAAGGACCTTTTTAGGACCCCATGGCCAGAAAGAACTTGAGCCAAATTGGCACCAAGTGGCTAGGATCCTACTCCCTGCCACAGTCCTGGGAGATTCTGTTCCTCAGTCAAGGGTAATGGGAGAGCAATCCTAGGTCAACAGTCATGGTATATGGTTTTGAACCATCTTTCTCTCCCTCATCTTCATACTTCCTCCTGTTTCCTTTCTCTTAGAAGCAATAGGGGCTTAGCCAAGCCTGACTCTTGGCCTTCTGGAAGAGCTTGGGAGACCTTAGGAACTGCTGAGGCAGAAGAGCTCCTGGGTCCCTGGGACCCATCCCTACTATCCCTATTGGCCTCTCCCTTTGGACATTCACAGCCCCCACCCCATCCTCAAACCCCCAGCTAGCAGCCCTAGAGCCAATTCGGAGAGATCTATTCTGCTGGTTCCATGGCTGCGTGGGCCCCACACTGGGGAGAAAGGGGTTAAAGCCAGGTCCCAGGATCACAGGAACCGGGAAGTTCCGGTGGCCCAAGCTGGAGTCGGTCAGGGAGACCCGCTGGGAGAGTAGTTTGGAGCCGAAAGGGAGGCTGTGCCAGTCGTGCCAACCTGCGCTTCACCCCCATCAGCGCTTGGCACGCACCGATAAACGCCCCCCACCTCCACTCCAGCCTCAAGGCCGGTTTCCCCTTGTCCCTCTGCAGGCCTCCCTCATCCCCAGGATAATGGAAGGACAGCAGCCGAGCCCCTCCGGGTCCGGGAGGCAGGCTGGGCTCCCCTCCTCGGCCATTGTCTGCGCGCAGCCGGCGGAGGGGCTCGAGGGGCGGGGCCGCGGCGCGGGGCGGGAGCGAGGGAGGGGCGGGAGGGGAGGGGGGATGCTGAGCCTTCAGGGGCGGAGGCGGCGGCGGCGGCGGCCGCAGAGAGGAGAGCGCGAGCCGTGAGGGCAGCAAGGCGGCGAGCGTGCAGCCGGAGGTCGGGCCGGGCGACTGCACCCGGTGCTGGCTGCGCGACGCCGCGCTGCTCTGGGCTCGGACGGCCTCTCTCATGCGCTGAGGGCTCCCGGCTGGGCCGGGCGGGCGGCCGGACAGGAGGATCCTCTCCATGGTCCAGAAGAGCGGCATGTCCCGGGGCCCTTACCCACCTTCCCAAGAGATTCCCATGGAGGTCTTCGACCCCAGCCCACAGGTGAGGCGAGGTGCCAGGCTCGAGGGAAAAGACCGCTCCTGCGGACGTTGAGGTCGGCTCGGGAAACCCCGGGAAGGAAATGGTTATCTGCCCGGCGTGGGTAAGAGAGGGGGTGTCTGCGCGACCCCCTATCCCCGAGGGCTAGTGATCGATGGACTGTTGGCCCGAGTTAGGGCTGCGGTGCTGCGGAGCGGAGAGGGGGCGGGTGGGATGCCTGTCAGCCTCGCCTCCGGGTCTCTCCCCTGCGTCCGGGTCCCTGCTACCGGGGTACCGACTCTAGCGGGCTGACGGCGGGGATGCTGATGGGGGGTGGGGGGAAATTCAGGCCTTGAGAAGCGGAGTTGGAGGGAGGCTGGAGAGCGAATCAGGCGAAGGGGGCGACGCAGAGCACGTTTGGTTGGGGGCGCTAGCGGGTGTGGGTGGGGCGGGGGTAGTACCAGGAGAAGGCAGAAACCATGGTTGGAGGGCGTTGCCAACAGGCCTCCTAAGGCTCAGACATTGGCTTTCCAAGGTGGGGAAGGGATCAGCTCTGGAAGGCCCTCCCCTGGTCACCTGGTCTCGGTTTCTCTCTTGGATGTTTCCCTCCCTCCCCCCAACACCCACATTGGCTTACCCCTCCCCCTGCCCCGAGGGGTGGGAGCCTCCAAAGTTTGGAAAGTTGGATGGGTGCCAACTCACTGTCTTTGGAGGGGAGGACGCTGTTTTACCTGGGGGAGGGGCTCCCATTCTCACTTTTCCTACGCGCCTGGGTTACCCCCAGATAGGGGCATTCTTGGGCCTAGAGGAAGAGCCCCGTGGAATGACCAGCAGGGTATGTGGTGGCCATGCCTGGGTATTTCTCTTGGAGTTGTCCTTCTCCAAGGCTAGCATTAACGCTTGCATTGCTGTAGCCAGAACTGTAAGCACCACGATGTGGTTGATGGGTGTGTATGGGGGGTCAGGTCAGACCTAAAAATACCTCATCCTCCTCCCCAGGCCCCTTGGAGCCTGGGAGGCAGCTGACTGATGCCTTCCTTTCAGCTGTCCCCTGTCCCTCTGAAGGCCACTCCCTTTGCCCAGCTGGGGTGGGGTTGTGGCGTGAAAGACTCTGAGGTTCATTGCAGGATCCTCTTAGGTTTGTAGGAAGGCCTCAAAACTAGCTTAGCTGTATGTCCAGTTTGAAAGAAGAACAAGGAAAGAAGATCATGGAAGAGACCTATTATTCATGTATCTACCATGTACGTGTGTGTGTGTGTGTGTGTGTGTGTGTGTGTGTGTGTGTGTGGTAGGCTCTTTTGTAGTCCAGGCTGGCCTTGAACTTCTGATCTTCCTGCCTGCCTCTACCTCTGAAGAGTGGGGGAATTACAGGTATGAGTCATTATGCCTGGTTGTGCAGCCTCCTTGTTAACCAGGTCTCAGGAGCAAGAGCCTGCAGTGTGGTTGAGAGTCCTCTAGGTTCTTTGGTCAAAGAAAGTCTGGGATAAAGGCTGGGGGCAGGGGCTCATGGGCATTTTGCCCATTCTTTCCTGGGCAAGGGCCAAGTGTGTGTGTGTGTGTGTGTGTGTGTGTGTGTGTGTGTGTGAGAGAGAGAGAGAGAGAGAGAGAGAGAGAGAGAGAGAGAGAAGCTGCTCCCTGTAAGAAGTGTAGCGATGCTCACTATAAACCATTGGCATTTGAGAGGTCAGGCAGGGTCCCCCCACTCCAGTTAAGAGTCCAGTAAGAGAGATTAGCCATCTTACCTGGTCCTGACAGGACTACGTTCTGTTCTAGTCTCAGCTTGGGGTGGGGCCAAAGAGCTTTTAGATTGATAGAGCAGGGTTAGGATGGGGATTGGGCAGTAGCAACTGGCGTGGGAGTCCAGTGGATCCTACCTTGGGGGGGAATGTAAACACTGATTATGAGGAGGGAGGCTAAGAGAAAGTTCGGCTAGGGTGGAGGTGAGAGTGGGAAGCAGATGCTCCGGAGGCGCCAGGCCACAGGTTGGGTGTTTACAGTCCTGTCCCTCCTCCCTCTTTTCCTTGCTTGGAAGGTCCTCAAGAGCTGGGTGCCTTCCCTTCCCTACTCTGGGAAGCAGAAAGCACAGGAGTTATGCTCGGGGGAGAAACCAAGCCTGCCCCTGGGTTGCCTTCCCTCCTCTCCCTGGGGGCACACTGCACTAAGGCCCCTCAGCTCCAGATGCAGGGGAGAGGAGATCCCTCTCTCTTCTTCCACCCCCCAGCACTGCGGGCAGCCTCTCCCTCCCCCTGAGGCTGCTGCAGCCTGCCCAGCATCTTAATTAGCTTAGCTGCCTAATGAGACTCCCATTCCTCAGGCCTTCTGCTTCCCAGCCTTCGGCTTGATTTGGGGATCCCTGTGTGTGCATCCCAGCCTCTGTTGCACGTATCCTCATGGTGGCTGTTGTCTGGGCACCGTCAGGGAGGTGAAGACCCTCTTTCCTTTCAGGCTGACCACCTCTAGGAGGAGCTGAGGATAGGGGTGGGGCAGAGTGGAGAGTCCCCCAGGCTAGGCTGTATGTAGCCCCAGCCCTGGTAGGAGGTGTGCTGGGAAAGGGTCTTTCTGATTTCACTCTCGTTCCTTTCCCATCTCTCCAGGGCAAATACAGCAAGAGGAAAGGACGGTTCAAAAGATCAGATGGGAGTACGTCTTCAGATACGACATCCAACAGCTTCGTCCGCCAGGTAACTGGGAAGATGGGTCGGGAGCTGCACGGTTGGTGGAGGCTGGCCTGCCACCTTCCCCAGGCGCCCTTTCTCATATCATCTGTCATCTGCCTGGAACCACCGCAACACCCTGACACCCCGTGACCTCTCCTGGATGTGCTGTCAGCTGCACCCACTGCCTCAGCCCCCGCCCCCGCCAGCCCCTCCTTCAGCACCAGCTACCAGCCCCTGCCGCCTGCCTGCCTGCCTGCCTGCCTGCCTGCGTCATCTCATTCAGGGACAGCCTGGCCTGCCTCCTCCTAGCTTGCTTCGGGCTGTCACCCACTCCCCCTGCCGGCTGTCTGCTTCCATGTCCTCCCCCAGAATCTGTGACAGGGTGGGGCTGAGCCAGGTGCTTGGGAATAAGCTGAGATACTGGGCCCTGGTGAGGTCAGGAACACATGCTCCCCTCTTCCAAATCTGACTCTTTAATATGCACAGAGAGAGCAAGGTACGGGAGGAGAGGTGTTTTGTTTTAGAGGGCTGTAACCTGCATCCCTAGCTGAAGTGGGTGCTGACAGTAGCTCTCTGGGCCCTCACGCTGAGCTGGGAAAACTGCCACTTCCTCTCTTCCCTCAACCCCAGGCCATCTTAGGCTGGGGGGTGGGGGGGAGGCAGTGAGGAGGCATGTGGTTGCTATGACTACCGAGCATCTCAACAAAGCCTGGTACCCAAAAAAAGGCAAGAGGGGCTTGGGATCAGACAAGGAAAGGGGTGTGCTAGGGAGATTATAGACAGAACAGGAGAGGGCAGAGGACACTAGGAAGGAGGAGCCCCCTGGGGGTAGGCCCCACTGGGTCCATAAGACAAGGCAGTAGCAGGCAGGTCGGTCGGTCACTGGAGTGAGTACTTTCTCTTGATTCTTCTATCTCTAGTTTTTTCACACATAAACCCAGGCCTAGCTCTAGGGGCTGAAGGGAGGCCTTGATCCAGAGTCTGTCTAAAACACACAGACATACCATAAGTCCTTCCTGTCATCATTCCTTCAGCCCTCCTGTTCCAGAACTGGGCCAGGGCCAGGTCTGGAAACAATGATGCTATGCTCCTGTTGTTACTCACGGCAGGAAGAGCCTTCACTTTCCCCCTTGCCATGGGGTCAGACTCCACAGTCTCCCATTCTTCCTCCTCTCAGCTCCCCAAGTCCTACCCCCAGTAGGTGGCGGGAGTGGGGGGCAGACCTTGCCACATCTCTGAGCTAAATATACCCTAGCAGTTTGCACATGTAGCAACTCTGCTTGTAACCTGAGCCCCTGGGGGAACGGGCTGCGTGGGCCACCCCTAAGGCCGGCAGGGCCCGGCACTGAGGGCGCCGGGAATGGAGGTGCCCAGCCGGACCCTGGTAGTGGTGAGCTGGGGATGGGCCAGGTGGTAGGTGGGTGGAACAGCCCCTCAAATTTCTGTGGAGGGCCTTTCTCCAGCCCATCTCCTTGCCCCTTCCTGTCTCGCATTTCTGGTTGTGTGTATGTGTGAGCCTCTTGCGGTCAGCAGGTGCCTCTCCTCCTGCCCACCTCTGCTTGTCTGTCTGTCTGGGCATTTGTATTCTTGGTTTGGGGGGACAGTGTAACAGGGGAGAAGAGGGGGTCCTTTTGTTTCTCTTTCCCCTGGCTTTCTGTCTCTTTTCCAGCTTTAATTAGTGACCCAAATCCCTAGCCCACAGCTCCTCCATTGAATCCCCCATTCTCAGGATTTTCCCTAGAGAAGGTATTGCTTGTACCAGCTGATGACCAGGGGTATCTGGGAAGAGGTAGGTCTTGGCATACTTGTTTCATGCCAAACCCGTGGACAATCCCAGCCAAGTGACTCTATCCTGCCCTCGGGAGAGATCCCTCACGTCCCTGTAATTTCATGTTTTTTTCCCCTATTTCCTCCCAGACTTGTCTGCCACCACCCCAGAAGTCACAACAGATCCACATGTCCTGTCCTTTGCCACCCTCAGGGACCCTGTGGGCTGCCCCTGGTGACTGACTGGATTGTTCACACCAGCACACAGTATGATGACTCAATTGTTCAGACCCAGCACACACTGGGGAGTACATCTTCTCAAGCACGCTTTTTGTTATTTCCAAATACACACACACACACACACACACACACACACACACACACCCCACACATATGCCTGCACATTCATGACCATGACATCTGTATAGCTTCCATGTGTCTCGAACATACACACATGTCTCCTCCCTCTTCTAGAGTCCTTTGCACTCTGGGATGGTGTCTGTGGTCCATGTTGGCTTGCTGGCACACTCAGTCTTCCAACCCCACTTTACCCTGGCATTCTAGCAGCCTAGTGTCGGGGCAAAGGCCTGTTCCACACTCTCCCCTCCGCTCGAACCTCCAGTCTCCGCTCCCCTGAAAATCATACGGGAGCCTGGAGTTGGCTCTGAGGTGGCCCTATTGAGAAATTCCCAGCCAGAAGGGTGGGTATCTTGCCCCTCTGATCCTCAATCAACATTTTTGGTGGCCCCGTCATTCCGACAGGCCGCCCACGGCCAACAGTGAGGATTGGGGCCTAAGAAGGTGGCTACAGTCCCTGGAAAGGATGGCGTGGAGTTTCTGCTATGCCTTCTCGGCCATTCAGGGGGCAGAGCAGGGAAGGAGGAGCAGGGAGGAGGAGCAGGGAGCTAGATTCATCCCCTGGCATGTCTCCCTTGGGCTGTGCCCCTATCAGGTTCCCACCCCTCCCAAGCCCCAAGCAGCTGTCATTAGACCTGCCTTAACCTCCGACTGACTGTTGTCACCTTCGCTGGGGTCACACTCATTCCACAGGCCTGCAAACCTCGACCCTGGCCTCCTCATTCTAAGAATACCTCCTTTCTAGGCCTGGTGCTATTGTGCTGGACTGACGGGTCTTTAGATTTTTTTAGGATGGGTGGCACCTCCCTGCCGTCCCCAGGAGCCAGAAGAAGTGGCATTGGCCCTGAGCCGGCTCCTTTTGCTTTCAGGGCTCAGCCGAGTCCTACACGAGCCGTCCGTCAGACTCTGATGTATCTCTGGAGGAGGACCGAGAAGCCTTAAGGAAGGAGGCAGAGCGCCAGGCCTTAGCCCAGCTCGAGAAAGCCAAGGTGAGAGATAAAAGGAGGAGAGCTATGGGCATTATCCTCACCCCCAGCCCCCATCCTGAGAGAGCCTGGGCAGACCCAGTGTCAAGGTTTGGCTAGTTTACAAAAATCCGCCCCAGACCCCATGGTGTCTTTCCCCTGTGGGGGGAAAACAAAGGTTGGGGTATGATAGCTTCCTCCTCATCCAGTGTCTGATGCTGTTTCCACATAGCTTGATAAGTGATGACATTGTCCCTTCCTAGGCCAGGGATGTAGCTCAATGGTAGAGTGCTTGCCTAGCTGGCACAAGGTCCTGGGTTCAATCCCCAGCACCACAAAGAAAACAAACACGCTTTCTAGAATCAAATGTCCTGGGATAGAATCTCAGCCTTGGCTGTTGTTCTAGGGTAAAATCTCCCTATTTGGCCCATACTTGCAGTGAACTTCCGATGTTTCTGTTTCAGTCTTTAGAATATACCCAGCTTCTAGCCCTGATCCCCCCCCACACACACACCTACAATACCCTCCCCACCTCCCTACACACACACATTAGATTGAACCTAAGGTCTTGTTCATGCCAGGCGAGAGCTCTGCCATTGAGCTATCTCCCCATCCCCCCTTTTGGTTTTTCAAGACAGGGTTTCTCTGTGTAGCCCTGGCTGTCCTAGAACTCACTCTGTAGACCAGGCTGGCCTCGAACTCAGAGATCTGCCTGCCTCTGCCTCCCAAGTGCCACCTGGCCCAGTCCCAGCCTTTTTTTATGGAGGGTGTTTACATTTTTTAAAATCACTTTTTTTTGGGGGGGGGTGTGTGCATGTGTGCTGTACTGAACATACAGAAGTCAGAGGACAGCTGCCCTCTCCTTCCACCAAGGGATCCGGTTCAGGTGTCAGGCTTGGTGGCAAGCTCTTTTACACGCCGAGCCATCTCGCTGGCCCTCTTCCTTGGTGTTTGACATGGGGTCTCATTCTGTAGGCCACAATGTTTCAGAATTTATAGCAATCCCCCTTCCTTAGTCTCCCAAGAGGTGGGACTACAGACTGAGCTGCCACTCGTGTGTGTGTGTGTGTGTGTGTGTGTGTGTGTGTGTGTGAGTCTGTTTGTGTGTGTGTACACTCGTATGGGCAGGTGCTCACTCGTGTATGCTGTAGCAGAGGCCAGAGGTCAACGTCAGCTGTCTTCCCCAATTGTTCCACACTGAACCTGGCGCTTGCCTCTGGTGAAGCCAGTGTGCTTTCCCTGGATTCACTGTCTCTGCTCCTGAAACCCCAGTGCTGGGGTTCTGGATGTGACCCGTTGTTCCTGGCCTTTACGTGGGTGCTAAGGTGTTTGTCTGGGGGTGGGACACTGCCACTCCTGGAGAAGATGATAGCCACGACAAGTCTCAGGCTGAACTCTGCCCAGCACACACACATACACACACACACACACACACGGCACAAGCACTTTACCTACTGAGCCATCTCACAGCCATGATGGTAGGTTTTTGCCACTTTTCCATGACATGTAATGTATACAAAACAACATACCTTGGAAGCCCCAGCAAGATTAAATGTCAAATTCTAGGTTCTTTTTTGTTTTGTTTTGTTTTGTTTTGTTTTGTTTTGTTTTGTTTTGTATTTCAAGACAGGGCTTCTCTGCATAGCCCTGGCCTGTCCTAGAACTCACTCTGTAGCCCAGGCTGGCCTCAAACTCAGAGATCTGACTTACCTCTGCCTCCGGAGTGGTGGGATTAAAAGTGTGTGCCACCGCCGCCCGGCCTGACCTAGATTCCATTTTTAAATACTTTAAAATTTATCCCATGTTTGTATGTCTGTGTTACATGCCATGGCCTGCGTGTGGAGGCCAGAGGACAGCTTTCAGGGGTTGGGTTTGTCCTCGTACCATATTAGTCCCGGGGAATCAAACTCAGGTCGTCTGCCAAACTTGGTGGCAGACCAGCCCTGAATTCCAGATTTTTGTTTAAGTAACTCATTTATTTTTATTTTATGTGCATTTATAAGTGTGAGGGTATCAGATCTTGAACTTAAGAGACAGTTGTGAGTGGCCATGTGGGTTGACTGGGAATTGAACCACAGGTCCTTTGGAAGAGCAGCCAGTGCCCTTAACAGCTGAGCCATCTCTCCAGCCTGTTTCTTTTCTTTGTACTTAATTAGCATGTACGCTCTAGTGTGTATTTGGGCGTGGTACTCTATGTGTGAGGACGTGCGTGCCGCAGCACACGTATGTGGAGGACAGGGGACACCTTTGTGAAGTCGGCTCTCTCCATCTGCCCTTACTTAGGTTCTGGGGACCAAAGTCAGATCGCCAAGCTTGAGCGGTAAATTCCATTAACTGATGAGCCACCTCCCGGCACCCCGCCCTCCGCCTTTTCTTATTGTAAAAGTTACGGAAAACCACCCAACCCATTCAGCCTACATTTCAGTGAATAATTTACAAAGCAAACAACCGCACAGCCACTATCCCAGTCAAGCAAGGTACTACTTGGCCTCAGCCCCTCGGCCTTCATCCACCTCATGAGTCTGTCTTTCCTCTAGACCAAACCAGTGGCTTTTGCTGTTCGGACAAATGTTGGCTACAATCCGTCTCCAGGGGATGAGGTGCCCGTGCAGGGAGTGGCCATTACCTTTGAGCCCAAGGACTTTCTGCACATCAAGGAGGTGGGCTGAATACTTGGCACCTGGAGGGGAGGAATGAGGGTGGGAATTAGCGAGCGGTGCAGGGGTGCTAGGAGAGGGGTGTCTTGAAGCCTAGTGAAAAAAAAAAAAAAAAAAAGCTGAGCCAAGCGCAGCTGGACTAAGTCTGCTGTGCAACCTTGGGCAGATCTCTTCCCCTCTCTGAGTTTTCATCGGTTAACGGGTGGTAATGTCTCCATCACAGAGCTGTTGCGAGGGTTTGCCGTGAGCTCTGCGGTAGAGCGACAGTGTGCCCAGTGCTTGTGGGCGGCTGTCATTCCTACTGCTGATGCCGGCCGCATGGTTCTCCGGGAGGCAACCTCTCTCTGACAGAGAATGGTCCACGGTCAGAGAGGGTCCTGGACTTGGGGGTCTTTTTTTGGAATCGGGATGCTCTCCTCTGAGACCGATGCCAGCGGTGAGGGTATCTCTGAGGGACCCATCTACGGGCGGGGCTGGCAGCTCCCACCTCCAGCCTCCCTCTCGGCCTCTCATCCACAGAAATACAATAACGACTGGTGGATTGGCCGGCTGGTGAAGGAAGGCTGCGAGGTTGGCTTCATCCCCAGCCCTGTCAAACTGGACAGCCTCCGCCTGCTGCAGGAACAGACCCTGCGCCAGAACCGCCTCAGCTCCAGGTGGCTGCCTGGGGATGGGTCATTGCTATCCTTGGAGAGGCTAACAGGAAGGGGGAGGCCCCAGAGCTGATCCTTGGCCTCTAGCTAAACCTGCCTATGGCCTTACTGGGGTGGGGAGGGGTGTTGGAGAACTACCAGGCTGGCACCCCCTGTCAGCACTGGAGTCCCGCAGCCCCACGCCCACCTGTGCTCACTAGTTCCTTTGCTTCCCTGCCCACACAGCAAGTCAGGTGACAATTCCAGTTCCAGTCTGGGAGACGTGGTGACTGGCACCCGCCGCCCCACACCCCCTGCCAGTGGTAAGAGCTGCCTGCAATCCGGAGGGGGCTAGGGGAGAGTTTTTCCTGGGTGGGGTGGTCTCTCCACAGGGGTGGTCCCTTCACCTTGCAATAGGAGGTACCTCAATTCTGAGTCCCCCAAACACACCCAACGGTACCCCTTCCATTAAGGATAGGATATTCTCCAAGCTGAGCCTGTCATGTCTCTCCTGTCCCCTCTCTGTGGTAGCTCCATCTCTCTGCCTCCCCCCCACACCCCTCATCCCCCATCCATTCTCCTAGCCCTGTTCCATTCACCTCTTCTTTCTTTTTTCCCCTTCCCATCCTTGTGTCCTGCACTGTATCTCCATGCTCATCTCACTCCTCTCCTTTCACCTCCTTCCTGACTGGTCCAGGTAATGAAATGACTAACTTAGCCTTTGAGCTAGACCCCCTAGAGTTAGAGGATGAGGAGGCAGAGCTAGGGGAGCAGAGCGGCTCCGCCAAGACTAGCGTGAGCAGCGTCACCACACCACCACCCCATGGCAAGCGCATCCCCTTCTTTAAGAAGGTAATTCTGTCTGCTTTCCTGTGAGGGGAGTCAGGGCCTACCTCTTGGCAAAGAAAGGGGATAGGGTGGTCCAGTCTATATTTTGAGCCTCTGGGCTTTCTGCCTAGCTGGATGTGAAGGGGGGGAAGGATGGGGTTGGGACCATCCCTCTCTTTATAAAGCCCCATTCCCCCAACTCCTCGGGGAGGGGTGGCCCTTGCTTTGTCTGGTAATAATAAATACTTCCAGTCTTTGTCCTCATGACCAAAGTATGCGCCACTCTGGGTTGTAAAGGATGGAATGACATTCATTTGCCCCTTTCCAACTCTATGCGTGGGTGTATGAGGGGGTGCTCAGGGAAACCCTTAAAATATACAGGATTGTACAACGGAGCTGAATGTGGGCCCTGAATTAGGGGCTTGCAATGTCGCTAGACCTTGGAGAGTTAGACCTAGAGGGGTTTGTTCCACTGGCTAACTCTCTGTCCTGTGCCCCAGTCTCCAAGCCCACCTTTGGCTCCCCTTTGGCACGGGGGTTCCATCCCCTCTCTGGCTCTGTCTGTCACTAACACGCATGCCTGTTATTTTTCCTCGTTTACCTGCTCTCTTGCCCCTTCTTCTGTCCTGGCTCCTTCCTGGCCCTCTACCCCTGCCTGGTGCCTCCCCCTCTCTCCTCCCTTTTCCCCTCCTGGCACTCTCTGGACCCAGCCAAACAGAAGCAGAAGTCGGTGAGTTGAACAGCTTTCTGTGTCCGCCCCACCCGGGGATGTGCCGGGGAACCTTCTAACACCCGTTCCCATCTCTCTCCCTTTACCCTCCCTTCCCAGTCCTGCTTGGCCAGCCCCCTCCCCAACCCCCTGACACCTACATCTGGGCTCTGGGGACAAAGGGAGGAAAGGCTGCATGGGGAAGCCTGGAGACTTGGGGAGAGGGGCTGATGCCATCTCTACCCTGGGGTTCCCCTTCCCTGCTTCCCTCCCAGACAGAGCATGTGCCCCCCTATGACGTGGTACCATCCATGAGGCCCATCATCCTGGTGGGACCATCACTCAAGGGCTATGAGGTAGGCACTCTCACGGGTGTGCACCCAGATGGGCCCAGACCTCCCGAGTGTGCGGATCTCCCAAAGGACCCATATGCCCAAAGCCCATGTCCCTTCAGAGTAAACCCCGATACAGGCCTGACCCATGGGAAGTCCACTCAGGAGGGCCCAATCTCCCAAGGAAAAATCTCAAGAGCTCTCTTGGAGAGGCTACATAAGAGACCAGTGGGAGTCAGGCTCCACTGGAGGCCCCAGACCCTGAGAAAGCGTCCACCCTTCTAGAGACCACTTCATCTCAGTTTTAAAAGAAGGTAGAAGGGGAGGGTTCCTGATGCCCAGCAGGCTGACCTCCTGGGGATGTTCAGAGCCTGATTTCTCCCTTCCCCTCCAACCCCTGCGGTGGCAGGTAACAGACATGATGCAGAAAGCACTGTTTGACTTCCTGAAGCATCGGTTTGATGGCAGGTAAGACCCTGAGACTGGCTGTGGCTCCTTCCTTCCACTCGGAGATGAACAAGATGTCTGAAGGGACCGCTCTGGGACTCTCAGAGACAAGGGTGGCAAGTCTGGAGCCAACCCCTGACTCCATCCCTGTCTGGTCGTTCAGGATCTCTATCACTCGGGTCACGGCTGACATCTCCCTGGCCAAGCGCTCAGTCCTCAACAACCCCAGCAAACACATCATCATAGAGCGCTCCAACACACGCTCCAGCCTGGGTGAGCTGCCTGCCTCCTCCTCCCCGATTCCCGGCCTGGCAGAGTGGGTGGGATGTGAAACAATGATGGGAAGTCTCCGGAAGCTCCCCCCTCTCTGCTGCCTCCTGAGGGGGGTACCTTCTGATCTCTCCCCCCCTCCCCCACACCCCAGCTGAGGTCCAGAGTGAGATTGAGCGGATCTTTGAACTGGCCCGGACCTTGCAGCTGGTTGCCCTGGACGCTGACACCATCAATCACCCAGCCCAGCTCTCTAAGACTTCACTGGCCCCCATCATTGTTTACATCAAGATCACATCTCCCAAGGTGGGTGCGGGAGACTGGTTCTAATGGGAAACATAAGGGTTGCTGAACATAGTAAGAGTCAGACACAACATACCTTCTGAGTATCAATATTGTAGATGTTCTTAGCTATACACAGGCCGGTCTCCTCTCTAGTCTTCTGATCCACTCTGGGATCAGAAAAATGAAAGAATCTGGTATGGTTTGTTCCAGTGTCACCCAGCTCTCTGGCGGTTGGAAAGTTTTCAATTGTCTAATGTCAGGCCCTGTGCTGTCCTTGTATGGACTTTGATACAGAGAATCCTGCTAGGGACTCCATGAACTTTCTCCTTCCTTCTGCCTTTAAATTTTTTTTTCCTTTTTAGCCTTTTTAGCTATGTATATATATGTGGGTATGTGCGTGTGAGAGCCTACACACCCTCCCCACAGGCTGGTAGCATAGAATCTCCCTAGAGCTGGAATTTCAGGTGGTTCTGAGTTGTCCCAGATGGGTGCCAGGAACCGAACTTGAGTGCTCTGCAAGCTCAGTGCGTGCTCCTGACCACTGAAACACCTCGCCAGTCTTTCTCTTTCAAGACAGGGTCTCCCTGTGTAGCTTGAACTCGTTATCATCTGCCTTAGCCATCCGAGTTCTGGGATTCGCTGTGTGACATCACTCCTGGCTCCACAGCCTTCCCCTTCTAGATGTTAGTGGGGATTTGAGAAACATGGAGGAAGAATTTAGGTGAGGGTTGGTCTTTTTTTTTTTTTTTTTTTTTTGAGGCAGTGTTTCTCTTTGGCTGTCCTGGACTCACTTTTGTAGACCACACTGGCCTCGAACTCACAGAGATCTTCCCGCCTCTGCCTGAGTGCTGGGACTACAGGCATGCACCACCACTCCCGCCTCTTAATTTTAAACGTAATTAATTTTTAATCAGTTTTGATGCTGGCCTTGAACTTACAATCCTCCTGCCTCAGCCTTTCCAGGGTTACAGGCATAGGCCACCACATCTGGCTCTGTGAGGCTTGAGAGATTAGAGATCAGAGATTTAAGGGCCCTTTGCACAGTCCAGTTCAATATGGCAGACAGCAGCAGTGACTGACTTCATGGGAGTGTCCTGTGAGCTAAGGACCATGTGCCGTTTGCCTCCTTTCTTTCTTTCTTTCTTTCTTTCTTTCTTTCTTTCTTTCATTTTATTTTTATGTATTTGCGTAGCCTTGGCTGTCCTGGACTTTCTTTGTAGACCAGGCTGGTCTCAGAACTCACAGTGATCCCTCTGCCTCTGCCTCCCTGAGTGCTGGGATCAGAGGTGTGCGCCACTAGGACCAGCCTGTGACCTCTCCCTAACCTTTCTGAGTCCTCAGTTTCTAATGACAGAACCAAGTGTGATGGGATTTACATACTTGAGTGTGGCGACACTGAAAAGATCAAATGAGGTGATGGATGTAAAGACACTCTGTGGCCTAGAAAGTAGCAGAGGTTCCATCTCTTCCTCGGAGATTACGGGCGTAGGCTCAGAGTGCCCGGGTTTCCTACCCGGGCTGTTAGCTTTGCTGTGTTCTTTTTGGCAAGTCCCGGAACGTCTCTGTGCCCTAGTTTTCTCATCTTCCACCTTGTCACGCTTCAGTGATTATTGTGAAAACTTACTAAGTGGTTTAGTTATGCAAAAAGCCTGGTGCCCAGGAAGGTGGCGTATTTTTCCTCTTAGCTTTGTTTTCAGTTTTTGAAAGAGGATCTCCTGTAGTCCGATCTGGACTCACATTTACTATGCAACTAAGGATGGTCTTGAACTCCTGATCCTCTGTTTTCCAAGTGGTAGGATTTCAGGCACATGCTGGCATGTGTCACCATGTTTGTTTGTTTTCTTTTTTTTTTTTTTATTTTGTTTTGTTTTGTTTTTGAGACAGAGGTTCTCTAGTAGTCCTGGCTGTCCTGGACCTCACTTTGTAGACCAGGCTGACCTTGAATTCACAGAGATCTGATTGCCTCTGCCTCCCCAGTGCCGAGATTAAAGGCTTAAAGGTGTGCACTGACACCTGGATTGTTTGTTTTGAGACAGGGTCTCCTCTGTCTCAGGCTGGCCTTGAACTTACTGTGTATCAAAGGATGGCCTGAACTTCTTGGGGAGGGGGGTGTGTATGTGTGCATGTGTGTGTGCTCGAGTGCCAGAGGAAAATCTACTTTGTCATTCCTCAGGTGACATTCACATTTTTTGAGAGAAAATTCCTCACTGGTCTCATAGGCTAGGTTGACTGGCCCGTTACTCATTTGTCTCTATTTCACCAGCACTAGAATTTCAAGCCACACTTCTTTTTGGTTTTGCAAGACAGGGTTTGTCTGTGTAGTCCTGGCTGTCCTGTAACTAGCTCTCTTGACCAGGCTGGCCTCGAACTCAGATCCTCTCTCTCCTGAGTGCTGGAATTAAAGGCATATGCCACCATCGCCCTGTTCGCTATGCCCAACTTTTTTATGTTGATTCTGGGACTTGAACTCAGGTCTTGAGGCTTGAGAGGCAAGTACTTTACCAACTGAACCACCAGCCTGACCTTGAGCTTTTGATCTGCCTAATTCCACCTCTTGCCTTTTCACTCACTTAATTTTTCCATTGCCAGGGATCAAACCCAGAGTCTTGTAAGTGCTAAGTGACTGCTGTGTCACTAAGCTATTTTTCTAGTTCAATTTTATTTTATTTCAATTAATTAAATCTTTCATGTAGCCAAGGCTGGTCTCAACCCCCAGACCCTCCTGCCTTTGAATCCTGAATACTGAATACAGGCCTGTGCCATCATGCCCAACTCCAATTTTATTTTATTTACTTTTATTTTTGTCTTGTTTGAGATAGGGTTTTATACCATGGAGCCCTGGCTGGCCTGAAACTCATTCTGTAGACCAGGTTGGCTTTGAACTACAGAGATCCCCCTTCCTCTGCTTAAAGTCTCTCTAGGGGCTAATGGTGTGCACCACCACCTTGACCTTCCAATTTTATTTTTAAATAGATTATAAGTTTGGTATATGTGAGACCCTGGATTCGGTTCTCAGCACACACTGAAGAACAAGTTGTATGCCTTCATTCTATTTACTTCATCTTGTGTTTCCTAAGGCCGTGAGCTTTTGGGGGGAGTGAGGCAAGAGGAGCAGAAGTTAGGTCACCCTGAGCTACACTGTGAGTTCATGGCCAGCCTGGGCTTGCCTCAATGCTCCCCCCACCACACACACACACACACACACACACACACACACACACACACACACGCACACACACACGCGTGCACACACATGGATATCTAAAAATGTGGTGCACACCTTTAATCCCAGCACTCAGGAGGCAGAGAAAGATGGATCTCTGTGAGTATCAAGTTTCAGTCTAGCCGTAGTGAGTCCCTGTCTCCAAAACCAAACAAATGGGCTGAGGGGGATGGCTCAGAGGTTAAGAGCACTGGCTGTTCTTCCTAAAGGTCCTGAGTTTAATTCCCAGCAAGCTCAGAGGTTAAGAGCACTGGCTGTTCTTCCTAAAGGTCCTGAGTTTAATTCCCAGCAACCACATGATGGTTCACATACATTTACAATGAGATCTTGTGCCCTCTTCTGACTTACAGGCAGAACACTGTGTGTGTGTGTGTGTGTGTGTGTGTGTGTGTGTGTGTGTTTGTATATTTTCTAAACAAAACAAACAAACAAAAATGTAGCCTATATTTAACCTCCTTCAGTTGTCTGAAGGACCCCCCTTATGATACCACTTTCTATACCCCAGGAGTTCACCCTGGGATCACTTCCTGTGGTCCTTTTGATATGAAATAGCTCTTGAGCTTTCTTTAGACTTTTATGAGAATGGAATTTTGCAGTTTTGAGTTTGATATTCTATGGCTTTGGGGAAACAAAACTGGGCATGTTAAGAAGCACACAACAGCCAGGTAGAGTGGCATGTGCCAGCTACTCAGGGTAGACAGGAGGCAGCAGATCACTGGTGCCCAGGACTTGTTGGATGCCAGCCTGGGTGACATAGCAAGTCCTCATTTTTTTTTTTTTTTAGATTTATTTCTTTATTTTACATATGAGCACTATATTTCCATGTACACCTGCGGGCCAGAAGAGGGCACCAGATCTTATTATAGATGGTTGTGAGCCACCATGTGGTTGCTGGGAATTGAACTCAGGACCTCTGGAAGAGCAGACAGCGCTCTTAACCTCTGAGCCAGCTCTCCAGCCCCGGTCCTCATCTCAAAAACAAGCAAACTTGGGGTGATGCTAGTATCCAGCAAGAAGTTCTCTGTGAAAGATGGCTATTATTATTCACAAGGACTAGAGAGAGTGAAGCTAGAGAACGAGACTAAAGCCTGTAGACAAGATGTGTGTGAGAGTGTGTGTGTGAGTGTGTGTGTGTGTGTGAGAGAGAGTGTGTGTGTGTGTGTGTGTGTGTGTGTGAATGAGTGTGAGTATGTGTGCGTGTCTGTGTAGGTCTCTGTCTAGGTGTCGACCTAAGCCTGAGCCGTGTATAGTGGACACAGAACTTGTGAGTTCCTTCTGGCAGTGGCCCTCAGGGCAGAGAGCCATGGGACATTCCACCGCTCTGACTCTGATTTCCCAGTGGCTCCAACCAGAATCTGCCTGTTAGACTTGGGCCATTGCCTGTGGCCTTCCAGCTCCCTCTCTTCCCCGCCAACCAGGTACTGCAGAGGCTCATCAAATCCCGAGGGAAGTCTCAATCCAAACACCTCAATGTCCAAATAGCAGCCTCGGAGAAGCTGGCGCAGTGTCCCCCTGTGAGTGCTCAGCCCCAGGGGAGGGAAGGGAAGGTGTGCCTTTGGGTTCTCCTGCGCCCTTCAGCCTGCATGGAAAATAGCACCTGGGTAGAGACGGTTGGCTGGTTGGTCAAATAGCTCAAGCACTCCTTCCTACGTGCGGAGCCACGCCCTGGTTCCCCTATCCCTAGAAAGCAAGGGAGTTGGGCTGGATTCTGTCCTAGGTAGGTCTGAGTGTCCTTTCCTGGCTCCACACCCAGAGGCATTTTAACCTTGTCCTTCAACCCCTTGACTCCACCCACTGCACCCAGGCTACACCTTCAACCCTTGGTCACGCCTCCCGCTCATCCCAGCCCCGCCCCTAACCCCACCTCCGCAGGAAATGTTTGACATCATCCTGGACGAGAACCAGTTGGAAGACGCCTGCGAGCACCTGGCTGAGTACTTGGAAGCCTACTGGAAGGCCACGCACCCGCCCAGTAGTACGCCACCCAATCCGCTGCTGAACCGCACCATGGCTTCCGCAGCTCTGGCTGCCAGCCCTGCCCCCGTCTCCAACCTCCAGGTACAAGTGCTTACCTCGCTCAGGAGGAATCTCAGCTTCTGGGGCGGGCTGGAGGCCCCACCGCGGGGAGGCGACGCGGTGGCCCAGCCTCAGGAGCACGCCATGTAGCCGGCGTCCCTCCGGTCTTCCCTCCCGCCCTGGAGCGCAGGGAACAAGGGGAAGGAAGGGAAGAGCTTTTATTTTGTAAAAAACGTGGTGAGCGGCAGCGTCTGGTGTCTGTGGTTTTTGGTGGGACTAGGGGCCGGCTGGTGCTGCCTCCCTGGGACTGGTCCCTTAGGACTGCTTCTGTTGCCGGTTGGACCTGAGGCCTGATGGGGACCCTTGTAAGTGGAGGAACTAGGAGGAAAATCTGAGGAAGACCAATAGGCTTTTTCACTGGACTCTACACCCTTTTCTTTTTGTTGTTGTTGTTGCTGGTTTTTTGGAAACACAGTTTCATTCTGGCAGTAGCTGGCCTGGAAATTTGCAGTGTTCCAGACTAGCCTCAGACGGGAGGCCATCCTCCTGCTTCAGCCTCCTGGATGCTGGAATTACAAGCTAGCGCTACAGCCGTCAGCTGCACACCCACTTTAGATCTAACCGAGTGGGGGTCATCGAACCCAGACAGCTTGCCCCTCCCGGCATCCCTTCATCCTTGAGGGACCCAAGCTGCAGCTTCTGTGTGCCTAAGCTGTGCCTTCCACCGTCTCCCAGGGAAACAGAGTCCAGGAAAGGTTCTCCTCCCACGGAGCCACAGCCCATCTCTGAGCCCACGCCATTAAGTGTATCTGGTCTGGCTTAGAGCCAGAACACCATGAAGTCATTCTAGACCGCTGCATCTCAAGTGTGTTCTCAGCAACAGAACGTACTTGCTCAGTGGAGCTGAACCATCCCGGATCTACTCATGGCATGGCGGGGGGGGGGGGGGGGGGGCTAGCCTCCCCTCCCCCTGCCTCAGGGACCTCAGAAGCACTTCTTTGCCCAACCCCCTCTCTGCCTTAGAGCAGCTCCAGAAAGCAGTTTGGAAACGGGTGCTGTAGTCTTATTCCCATCATACTGTAACCAGGAAACGGTGCCACGGGAGGGTGTCATTTGCTCAGCCTCACAGCCTGAGACGGCAGGAGCTGTCAGCTGCTGTTGAAGAGGGCATTGGGCCACCTCATGGTCTCCAGCTGTGGGTGTAGAAGCGGGGAGGGTTGGAGACGTGGAGTCATTAGCTTTCTTCAAATCCGCCGCTTTGAGTCCTTTATAGGAGGGAGGAGAGGAATCCCATCAACCCTGTGTAGGGAAAGGGAGAAGCGTGGGGTTCTGGAAGCCGGTGACCGAGGTCTAGTGTGGGCAGCGGAAGCTGGGGTCAGTGAGCTGAAATCTCATCTCGGGGTGTTTGGAAAATCGGAGGAATTGACTAACCCGAGCAAGCGCTGATGAGTGGCCGTTACTAAAGAGCTGTTAACCATGATTAACCGAGGAAAGCATTAACCATACGCGTTGAGGAACTAATTATTCAGGGCTCCTTACCATGGTAACCAGGAGGGTTCAGGCTCTGAAGTTGGGTAGCCTCGGGCGGCTAGAGGAGCAAAGAGCCTGTGGCCTTTGCTCAGGCTGAGCTTTAGAGCCAGTCACCCTGCTCCGGGGTGCCCCTCCCACAGAGCCAGCCCCCTCCAGGAGCCAGGCTGGTATCTTGACACCATCACTAACCTGCCTTGCTTTGTGTGTTTTTCTCCCCCCCCCCCCCCCCCCCTCCTTTTTGTTTTTTTTCCCCCCCCCCCCCCCCCCCGCCTGATCTGCATGGTGCGTGCCGTCTGTCTGCTAACCAGGGACCCTACCTTGCTTCTGGGGACCAGCCGCTGGACCGGGCCGCTGGGGAGCATGCCAGTGTGTACGAGTACCCCGGGGAGCTGGGCCAGCCCCCTGGCCTTTACCCCAGCAACCACCCACCTGGCCGGGCAGGCACCCAGCGGGCACTATCCCGCCAAGACACGTTTGATGCTGACACCCGAAACTCTGCCTACACGGAGCCGGGAGACTCGTGTGTGGACATGGAGACAGACCCCTCAGAGGGCCCGGGGCCTGGAGACCCCGCAGGGGGAGGCACACCACCAGCCCGGCAGGGCTCCTGGGAAGACGAGGAGGAGATGACCGACAACCGGAACCGGGGCCGGAATAAGGCCCGCTACTGTGCGGAGGGTGGTGGGCCGGTTCTGGGGCGCAACAAGAATGAGCTGGAGGGCTGGGGACAAGGCGTCTACATCCGCTGAGAGGCCCGGGCAGTTCTGGGAGAGGAAAGGCTCTGAGCCCGGGGAGGGGAGGGCAGAGGGGCACACCGCCCAAGTCGTGTCTTGCCTCTAGGGGGCGCTGTGTCCCTCCTTTTTCAGATGCCTTTGCTCAAAGCTTGGGGTTTCTTGGTGTTTCTCCTCCCAACTCCTGGGAGGTCCTTCATCCCCAGCTGTTGGCTTTTTCCTAACTGCTGCGGGTGGATGGGGGAAATACCTGTTTTCCGAAGTGCCCCCTTTCCCCATCTTTGGGGGCTCTCTCCCTCCCAGAGAAAAGGTGCACTTCCTTAAACCCTTTCTACTCGGGCCTTTAAGTGAAGGTCCTAATTGGGGTGGGGGTGGGGGCTTCTTTTACCAACACAGGGGTATTTGGGAAAGGTTGGGTGCTTTTCCTGAAGAGGGCCCGCTGAATCTTCCGCAAACCTTAGACACAGGGTCCTCCGCCACGTCCATCCCATCCCATCGCCTAGTTTCCTTGCAGCATTCTCTGGTGGGTGAGAGCCACAGCTTGGCAAACCCGGCGGGGCTTGCACTGGGCATTGGTGTGCGCCCTCCGGCCTCCGTGGTCAAGAAATCAGGGCCTCGAGCCTTGAGGAGGGAGCAACTAGCGATGCTGCCCCCCCCCGTGCCCCAACCCCTGTCTCCCCCAGGAATGAGCTTTGTCTACACTGTACCCTGCCCTGCTACCATCAGAAGCGAGGGGCCCTCTGCATCTGAGCCCCACATTTCCGTGCCACCTGGGTGTGGAGACCATGAATACTTTGGTCCACCTCATTCTAAACCAAAACAAAACAAAACAAAACAAAAAAAAAAAACAAACAAACCCCGCTCCTTCACCCTCACCCCGAGGCCCCAGGGGAGAGGCTCTATGGGTTGGTGGCCAAGAGGGGACCATCATCCCAGGGCTTCCTGAGGACCTTGGGCCTCCCCTAGGGGTCTTGGTTGCTGCTGCTTCTCTGTATTTGCCTCTTGTGATCCTGTCCTTTCTCAGTGTCCACTGTCCCCCAAGAGAGGCCTTGGTAGCCTCTCTCCCCTGGGGGTTCCCTTGGCCTCGCCATCCCTATAGTCCAGCAGCCCTGCCCTTCCCCAGCATCACAGCTGGTCCAGAGAGAGCCGATTGTGCCAACGAGGGCTGGGCCCTGCCCAGCTGCCCGCCTCAGGGATGGGCACCTCACGCCTGTCTCGCCACCTCCTGTGCCAATGTTGTCCCGCCCTCGCCTGGGGGCGGGGTGCAGCTTCCACTTACAGGTTAGAAGAAACCACTGCCCAACCATCCGCTCCCTGTCTAGTTTCCTGTGCCCGTCTGTCTGTCTGTCTGTCTGTACTCCTCTAGGAGAGATATTTTGCCACATATAAAACCGCAGTTCTGTCCTTTGCGGCCACCTCCTGAGACTGTTTCTTTGTTGCCACCACACTGTGGTCACCCAGCAGCCTGAACCTGGCCTGGGGGAGGGGTGGGGCTGGGGCAAGCAAGGGGTAGTGCAGGCTGGAGCTGTGCCTGGACTGAGACAAAGGAGCAATGTAGAGACGCTACTTTCTTTTGTTGCTGGTTCTGTAGGTCTGCAGTGCTCCTTATTCAGCTGCAAGCTCACATCTTACCGCCTCTTGGCAAGAAAGGGTGGGCCCGCTGCTAACTGAGGTGTTGCTCCCGGTGTGGGCTCCAGACCCACTGGCTCACATCTTAAAGGCACATGCTTTTTTTTTTTTTTTTTTTTTCCTTTCTCCTCCTCTCTGTTTTGAGCTCCCTGCACCCTAGTACCTCACCAGGGAGGGATAAGTTTCAGCTGCCCTGGAGCTCAGAGGTTTGCCTGCCTCTGCTTCCTGAGCGCTGGGATTAAAGGCGTGCGTCACCATGCTCTCAGCAGCCAGTTTGTTGGGGGGCCTTTTGTTTATTTGTTTCCCCCTGAGACCCCGGGGTCTCACACGGTAGACGAGGCTCACCCGGAGTTCACCTTGTATCTCCAGCTGTCCTGGGACTACTTCAGCTTGCCCAGATGCCGGGGCCCTATGTGTGTGTGAGCCACCATGCTAGAATATTTTATTTTGGGGCAGAGCTTGCCATGTAACCCCAATTGAGCTGGATCTCAGGTAAGCAGGATGGGACTCAAAAAACTCAAAGCAATTCTCCCGCCTCACCCTCCTGAGTGCTGGGATTACAGGGTCACAGACGTGCTGCGATGTGGGTCCTGAGAGCCAGCTTCGGGGCTGGGGTTATCCAAGTGTGTGAAGAGGCGGTACAGACCAGCCCCCCCTCCCCCCAGACATGTGAGGAGAACATAATGAGCAGGGGGCAGGCCCCTCCACCATCCCCAGCTGGCAGGATGTGGGCTCTGATAGCTGTTCCTGCCGGCACCCATATCCTGCCTCGAACAGCACCTGCGACCTTCCTCACCTTCCTGGGTCTTGTTTTTGAGGTGCTGGCCTAGAGGGTCCACCCCCTGATTGCTTCTGCCCAAAGCCTGTGTTTGAGTGTGTAAAGTGACAGCAGACCCCTGACGGCTTCCAGATGAGGAGCCTGCAGATCACAGGGACAGGGGACTGGGCAGGCCAGGGCCAGAGTCCTTGGGGAATTTGCCTTTTACCCTTCCCACTGCCTTACCGTGGCAGTTCTGTGCTTAGCTATGGAGCCAGCGTTTATTAGCGATCTCCTATACGGTAGGCACGAGTCAAGCTGTCAACCACTCACAGTGCTCTCTGGGTTTCATGCTGTGGGAAGCATTTGGGACCCGGAGCACTGCTCCCTTAACCCAGGAGATCAGAGAGGGCATCTAGAAGGAGGTGCTTGGCTGCCTCACTTGAAATCTGGGAACATGGTTAGGTTAATCTAGGCAGAGAGGTGGGAGGGAAATATGACAGTCTGTTGGCACCTGACTAACAAAGCAAAGTGGCCAGAGAGGGGTTGGCAGGGGCAGGTTACAGTATGCCTTGGGTTACATTAAGGAGTCGGTGTTTTGCTTTGAAATTGGTACGCACAAATGGATAGACTGTAAGTGGCCATGCAGGATAGGGGTGCAGCATGGGGCCTATGGCCTCCACCGCAGATGGCACTGATACCCCAGGCTGAGAGGAGGGTTTAGCCCAGGCCACAGCGGGAGGCAGGCACTGACCTAGAGGAACCCAGTAGGATCTCAAGCTCTCAGAGGGGAGTAAGTTGGAGGCGGCCACTGAGGAAATTGGGAGTCCCCTAGGGCAACTTCACTAACCCCCACAAAAAGTGTTATGTGGTGCCTCTAATTGCCAAGTTTAACTAATTCTTCTGCTCCAGGAAATTATTATTACTCTGTATACAATGGTCTGTCTGCATGCACACCTGCATGCCAGAAGAGATCTCATTACAGATGGTTGTGAGCCACCATCTGGTGGTTACTGGGAATTGAACTCAGGACCTCTGGAAGAGCAGATGATGTTCTTAGCCTCGGAGCCGTCTCTCCAGCCCCAGGAAACTCTTCTACTCTTTAGAAAGAGTAGGGGTCAGGGGTTGAGGAGGAGAAAGCGAGTATCTGAATGCACTCCCTTTCTTTCTGTACCTGCAACTTTCTGCGTAAAACTGCATTCATTCAGAACTTAGAGTTGGGCATTTCTGGCCGGCCGAGATAATAGAGGTGGGGAGAATGTATTGTTTTGGGGTAACCAGAGTCCTCTACCCACTCAGGCTGCTCAGTCAGCAAGCCACGTGAGGATGTCAGCACCATGCCGTCAGCTGGCTGGCCGCCACCATCACTTCCAGGACTCAGAAGCTGGGGTGGGGGACCCCTCCAAACTGGTACCTTTCCCTCACTGCCTCTCTGACTAGCTGCTTCCATCTCTGGTGGATGCTGCCTCAGTGAGTTGAAGCAGGACAGGCTACAGACCCCACATCTGCCCCAGGATTCACTATCCTGAAAAAAGTGAGTTAAGCTGAGGCCAGTTTGGCCCAGCGTGGGCCCATGGTTCCAGTCTAATATCCTAAGTCTTGTTTAGCTCCTATAATGGCATTCTCAGTGAAGTCTGTCTAGGCTTCCTTCTAAATCAAACCTTCTCAGGGAAGTGTGTGTGTGTGTGTGTGTGTGTGTGTGTGTGTGTGTGTGTGCAAATGCCAGAAGATGATGTTGGATCCTCTGACCTACATGGATGCTGGGAATCAAACTCTCTTTCTTTATATCTCTGGAAGAGCAGCAAGCCTCTTTCTTCTTCTTCTTCTTCTTCTTCTTCTTCTTCTTCTTCTTCTTCTT